TTTATGTCAGAAGTTTTAGAATAGTCCCACTTTATGTCAGAAGTTTTAGAATAGTCCCACTTTATGTCAGAAGTCAAGACAGACGACAACCAGTTTCAAGTATCCAAGAAACAGATTTGGCAAAAAAGGTGTCAAACGTATATGAATGAGTCACTGAAAGTCCGTGATGACACCAGGTGTTCGCAAACAGGGAATGTCCTGACACTCACTTAATCTACAGTAAAACATATATGTTGGCAATAGGTAAAAACACATGAAGTAGTTTTGTTTTGGGAAATATGTTGTTTGTTTTGTATATCCACCTCCCTAGGTAGATATAACATAGTAATATTTTCAGTTTCAACTAGTTGACAGGCAATTAGTATCATGTAGGTTGTCCATCTCCTCGTTCCACCTTGTGATGGTATGGAATTGTAGAATACTGACACTAAAGACAAATATAAACTGTCAGATGCTTCCACAACTGATAAGGAGGCTTAATAGGGGTGTGGTTAGACTTCTGACAGCTTGTTGCTACAATATCAGTGTGAAGAGTTTACCAACTTTCTTCTGCTCTGGCCAGATACACCCTCTGTTGTCAATCATGTGCTTAAGGCCATTTTCATCTTGAACCTCAGTGCCATATATCCATGAGCATTCTGGGTTAGAATCCTTGGCAATCTTTGCTGGTGGCTTAATGGGTTTTATTGTCAGGATAACTGGGTAACTGTGTCGTCCTACCCTGTTGGTGAAGATTATTGTCAGGATAACTGGGTAACTGTGTCGTCCTACCCTGTTGGTGAAGATTATTGTCAGGATAACTGGGTAACTGTGTCATCCTACCCTGTTGGTGAAGATTATTGTCAGGATAACTGGGTAACTGTGTCATCCTACCCTGTTGGTGAAGATTATTGTCAGGATAACTGGGTAACTGTGTCATCCTACCCTGTTGGTGAAGATTATTGTCAGGATAACTAGGTAACTGTGTCATCCTACCCTGTTGGTGAAGATTATTGTTCATAATATCAATGACTGTGTTTTTTTTGTGCTCAAGACACAATTATTTACAATCTGTCATCATGTAGCTAGATATTGCTAGGTGTGGGGTTCAGCAAAAATACTCATACACAAATCTTAAGAAACCCTTTCCATATTCGTAAAATATGTTCAGTTAAACGCTAAATTCATTGTATGATATTTACTACATCACCTCACACCCAGTGCCAGATATCTGTAATTTGTTGTCTGGCCATGTGTGAGATAGGACTGGTGTTCAGCAGTTCAGGAATCGCATTAATTCGGTGCCAGTTCCGTTCTCCACTGATCCTTGGACTTTACTGCAGATGGGATAAAAGCCCTGTGTCTGATGGTCATAATGTTCCATGTCAACATTGTTGATTTTCTATGTACACATCAATTGCATGGCAGCCAGTCATTATTATAATTCTGCTAATCAGCTTACAGTTGTAGATCATAGTGGGTATACAAAGATGGAAGTTAAACTTCTACATTGACAATATCTCAGGCTTGTACCAAGTACCCATCTTGATTAATCCTTGTGCCTATGTTAATTTCTTTGCATGGTAACAAGATGCCCAAGTTACAAATTATGTCTGAGAAAAAACACATGAGCATCTATTATTTGTGAAGTGTCACTACAGTGGATGATCAAGCTGAAAGTGAAAGTGGCTGGTTAACTCCAGACATGGGGTGGACAGGTGTACGTGGGGATCTCCTGTATCACCTGTTGAAATTGTTTACTCACCTTACCAGAATGGTTTTCCTGAAGAGTACTGCTGCCACAGAGTAAAGCAATCATGGAACATTCTTCATTGGTATCACGTAGCTCACTAGAGTTCATTCGGAAATCAAATCTTGCTGTGATTATTACTTTGTTTGACTGTTACTTCATTCAAATCTGCCAGTATTTGTTGTACAACTATATTTCAATGAAAATTGTCTTTAAAGAATGTTAAAAGATTATGAATCCAGCTTGTATCTTCATTTAGGAATAATAATTTATTGAGAGAAAATTAAATAATCTTTGAAGGATGAAAACTGCTTGATATGAATGCCAACATATAAATCTATGTCCATGAGGAATGATGTTTGTAATAATGTGTTCCATCTGTGCTGCACAACCCCATTTGACTACTGGTATATGAACAACTGCTGTGGCTGCTAGCAGAGTTTCTTGAAACACAATTTGCCCTTTATGATCAACATGATTGTAGATTACGATAAAATGTTGACTGAGTCAATATTGAATTAACCTTTACTGTGGATCCAGTGTGGCAGATCCTACCACAGATTGTGGTTATAAAGGCTTGTATGGAACATTCATAATAACATTAAGATAAAATTAATGCATCACATGATATATTGTCATTAGGGTGAAAAAATAACTTGGTATTTACGAATTCAGGATCAAACACATCAATAGCAGCCCCTTACAAACAGCAGTCAATCTGAGCTGGGACATGATATTATTGAGATTATGTATGTTTATCCCATAAAATAACTAGATGTTATCTCTTTAGATATGAACTACAGTTGAGCTAAGTGGCATCCATGTCTCATTATTTTGATCACAATAAAAATGTAGTGGTTCATCAGCATCATGATGTCAAATAACAAATGAACTTTGATATTTCTTTATTATCTAATATCTTTTGATTTACTTAATGAGTAGGAATCATGGCCAAGTCATCAACAGAAATATATAAATGTTGCTAGATGGAAGAAATATATCTTTGTTTACAAATGGATGACTCCAGTGAATAACAAAATAGACCTATTACTTCAAATTCAATAAAGAACAATGCTTGTTCCTGGACTACTGCTTTGCTTAGGACCCGTGAAGATCAGGGTTAGAACTGATCTTCAGCACCCCATGATTGTTGTAAGAATTGACTAACGGGATCGGGTGGTCAGGCTTGTTGACCTGGATGACACATGTCATCGTATCATGATGCTCATAATGTTGATCACTGGATTGTCTGGTCCAGACTCAATGATTTACAGACCATATAGCTAGAATATAGCTAAGTGCGGCTTAAAACTAAACTCACTCACTCACTCTTTGCTTAGGTATTGAGGACAAAATCCTGTATCGTGGAAGATCTGTTGCTCAATGACAGGAGGGTCAAGTCATATATCAGCAGAATGATGTAAATACTGCTGGATGTAGAAGATCTTTTTGAGGATTTTTACAATGAAAGAATGCGAAGAAAACATGACATTCTAGTAATAATTGATTAAAGGTTGTTTCTTACGATTATCCTGACAAATGCAGGCTAATTTATAACATGTCACGGAGGGTTTTTCCTCGCTTGTATTACAAGTCCTGGCAGAATCAATTTGGAGTGACAACACTTCTTTGATGTAGAAATATACAAGGATACATCTTTGAAGTTTAAGCTGATAGTTGAAAGTAGTTGGAAAGGAGTTGATTCTCTGTGGCAGGTAATTATGTTCTAGGAAATTACCAGGGTAGTTTTTTTTTTTCTCTTGGCACAACAGAGTAAGACTGTGTCTTGTTTTGGAAGAGAAAAGTGTGAAATTCACTCTTGTAATTGTTTTGAAGTTGTTTTCAGACAAAAGATGGTTTTAAAGTATCCTCAGACAGGTCTCAATATATTGTTTATGTTGAACAGTGCAGTGCCTAGGAGGTATCCATCTTCTTGAGGTACTTTGATAAACAGGAGGGCACAATTAAAAATCACTTAATTGATGTATCATCTACAGTCTGGGATAGACAGCGTATGATTGATGACAGGAACTGGTTTCTAGATTATTCATCTTTAAAGCTAAATTTGAGGCAATCAATGAAATGAGTGACAAGAATTGTAATATTAAGTACAGCTGGAGTTTGCAAGCAATAATAAAAAAAACATAATGAAATTTATGTATTTATTCTTAAATGTGTCCATACTAATACAGTATCTCAAATTTTGATAAAAATTAAGATTTTTTATATTTGCACACACATAATATATGCTTGTTTTTTAAAACATTGTGGAGTTTCTGTATCCAAGGAATCAAATCAAGCTGAGATAATTACATCTCGTGGCCATCAAACAAAGGGTCAAAATAATATTTTCTCTATTGAATTCAGCATACACGAGACTGAGAAAACTTAATAAGTGGTGTGTGGCTATATCTGAAAGTTAATACTTGTTTTGATTCATTAGCCAGGTGAGGTACATCAAATGCTGGGTGTAACAATCTGGTTTACTCTGGTGCAACATAAACACACAGTGTATCAGTTTACTATGTGGAGAGGGACGTAGTCCAATAGCACGTAACAAGCAGGACCCTGCTCCTTGGCTTGAAGAGCATAATTTGATATTAAGGGTGGCCCATTTCATAGTGTGAATCAGTTGTGTTTATAATGAAGACTAAGAAGGGAGGATAAACAATATTGCTATCATGAGGGTGCCTTGCCCATGCTTTGATGTATAGAGTTGATGGTGCTTCAAGTTAGAGAAGTAGCAAGATACAGGGGAGAAATTGTACATGCATAACATGGGCGTAATATTTATGTGTTTTGACAATATGTAAACATGTATATTGCATCTTCAGATTGTGTTGTTTTTGTGTTGATGATCGTTTTCGTGAAAAAACACAATGATGATGATGATGATGATGATGATGATGATAGTTTTAGTGATTGATTGTAAGACAATGAGAAAAACAGGTGTAAGTTGTTTTAGGAAGATGAAGATGATGATGATGTGTCAGAATGCTTGTGTGACAGGAAACACTGAAAATTGTTTTTGATGGAAACAATGAGTTTCCCAAACATCATTCATTCCCATGCCGGCCTGAATAATGACATTCATGTATTTCAACTTACAAATTCTTATTTCCTAGTTTATTTGCACATAGAAAAAGTGGTCTCTTTCCTTCTTTGTGTTGTTTTAAATGGTGATCTCAATCAGATGATGTGCAACAACATATAGTTATCTATAGCTTCGTTTCGATAAACAAAATATCTATACATTGTCTTGTTACTTCAGGATGAACGAGCCAGTTATGATGTCAATGGCCATGACCCTGACCCCCAACCTCGATATGACTACTCCAATGAAAACAGGTAAAAAAGGCACTTTGGGCGCAAGATCTTCAACCTTTTTTTATACACACTGATTTTATGTATTTCAAGTTGAATACATCTAGTTAGATTTGCATTTTATTTAATTTAAATAAGTATTCAGTTTTAAAGGCTGTAGTTGCTGTATAGCTGAAATAATGCTGATGTGATGTTAAAACGTCTTATTTTCCACAGGGGGTGGTGGGGTAGCCTAGTGGTTAAAGCGTTCGCTCTAACTCATCATGCTGAAAACCCGGGTTCGATTCCCCACATGAGTATGATGCGTGAAGCCCATTTCTGGTGTCCCACTCCGTGATATTGCTGGAATATTTCTAAAAGTGGCGTAAAACTAAACTCACGCACTACATTCCACAGTCATTGTGGACAAGGCAATATAGCACCACCCTATGTATAATGTTAATGAGATATTAGGTAACAGTAAATACTTTACTACTTTTTGTAGGCAAGATATGAATGTGGCGGATAATTTCTATATCATAATGCTTAGGCCTTCAAGATAGAGGTCAGTTGAATGTGCTTTGTGTTGGTGTACAGTTGGTATAAGTAATATACATGTTTCAGACATGGCACGAGATGTGCTGGAGAGGTGGCAGCACAAGCCGACAACAATGTGTGCAGTGTTGGAGTAGCTTTTGAGGCCAACATCGGAGGTAAGGACCCAGCTCTCTACTACCTGTAGTCAACCCTTGACACCAAACAAGTGTTCTGAAGTCAAGCTTCTCATGTGTGACCGAGTGTATACATTGTTTTGTCTGTCATATTCCTGTTAGCCCTGTCACGCACTCATCTCTGACTCTGACCATCAGCCTACCAATTCTCTCCAGTTTCTCTACTTCCCAGCCCTACATTCCCTGTGTTTCAAAGTGGGTAGAACATTGGTACAGAGGGTGGAAGTCATTGGTTCTATTCCTTGGCTGTATCATACAAAAATCTGATTCTCAACAGACAGTTTCTAGCTTCTTGTCCCATATGGAATCTTAGGAAGAAGTTATACTCTTATCCAAATATATGTTACAAAACATGAGAACAATCATGAGTAATCTCTACTAAAAGCTGCGTCTGGTACAATTCCAGTAATTCCAATTCCAGGACTTATGAATAATCAGAAAAGACTGTGACAACCAGCTCATCAGGCTCTGTGACAATCCTGATGGTGAGAGTCTCTGTGCTCTGATGCGGCCATGGAATAGTGATCATGCTTTCAGCCTCTGGTTTGCCTTTACACTGCTCTAGTTACAAGATGATGTGATACAGCTGAAATATTGCTGCCTGGGGCATAAAACACAATTGACTCACATACTGGCTCTTCCTTCAACACTCCTTCACCGTCTACTTCTTTACCCTATTCCCTCAATGTCCTCCTCATCCACTAGCCACAATTGCACTTACACCCACTCTTCCAAGGAAGGAAATCTGCACAAGATTAATATGACACCATTTGTTATACAAGTAGTTGCAAAGCTTGCCTAAAATAATGGTTACAGTCTGACGTACAAATGTATAGAATTAGTGTCACCATCTCATTACCTACACCATGACACCGCCCACCCACAAAGTCTGGAAGTGCTGTGATACCTGTACAGAAGCCTTCTCCCTGTGACCAGCTGACAGGCATTACCTTAGGTGCATTAGTGATCTACATGTGTTGTAGGGAGTAGGTTTATTTGTTGCCAATCAGCAGTCCTGAAATAAAGCCAGGGAAGGTTTTATGAGGTTGTGGGAGTAGTGGGTGGTGTATGTAATGTAAGGTCATAATATCCATTGATTTCTACTTCCCTTCCAACGTGATGCAAGCCAGTCCTGCTGACTTGGCCTGAGCCAAGAAATGCTACAATGAGTTGAGAAGTATATGGTCTGCTTCCAAAGTCAGAATGGCAATTGTTGTTTTACAGCAGTATTACTATGGTTGATCAACCCAAGTGACCTTTCATTCAGTCTCCAAATCTTATGCTTAAAGCTATATACAACACTTTTACTGCAGCAGTTGATGGTAGTTCAACCCCATTGACCTGAACATTCTTTGTATTCAGTACACAAATTAATGCGAAGAAATAATGTAATATAATCCCAACTGACTTTCTGGAAAAACATGCCAGGTACACAATAACTTCTGGATGTGGGTATACGTCTGTAGGTAACTCCCTGGGTACACAATAACTTCTGGATGTGGGTATACGTCTGTAGGTAACACCCTGGGTACACAATAACTTCTGGATGTGGGTATACGTCTGTAGGTAACACCCTGGGTACACAATAACGTCTGGATGTGGGTATACGTCTGTAGGTAACTCCCGGGGTACACAATAACTTCTGGATGTGGGTATACGTCTGTAAGTAACTCCCTGGGTACACAATAACTTCTGGATGTGGGTATACGTCTGTAGGTAACTCCCTGGGTACACAATAACTTCTGGATGTGGGTATATCGTCTGTAGGTAACACCCTGGGTACACAGTAACTTCTGGATGTGGGTATACGTCTGTAGGTAACTCCCTGGGTACACAATAACTTCTGGATGTGGGTATACGTCTGTAGGTAACTCCCTTGGTACACAATAACTTCTGGATGTGGGTATACGTCTGTAGGTAACTCCCTGGGTACACAATAACTTCTGGATGTGGGTATACGTTTGTAGGTAACTCCCTTGGTACACAATAACTTCTGGATGTGGGTATACGTCAGTAGGTAACTCCCTGGCAAGATCCAATTTCAAAATATAAACATAGATATGAACATGTCGAAACGTCGCCTTTCACAATAAAAGAAGTTGTAGATCCATAAAAATTGTCATCATTCTTCATAGATGACATTGTTGAGTGTCCTTGAACTAAGGGGCTGATACTCATGTCAACCGCTATGTTTGCCCCAGGATCATTGATGCAGACCATCCCATGTACTGATGATGTTTCTTGGTTGTAGGTGTCCGTATGCTTGATGGGGATGTAACTGACTCTGTGGAAGCCCAGTCTCTCAGTCTGAACCCCCAGTACATACACATCTATAGTGCCAGTTGGGGGCCAGATGATGATGGACGCACTGTGGATGGCCCAGCAACACTGGCACGCAAAGCCTTCTATGATGGCATCACTAAAGTAAGTAACTAATGTGGTTATTGTTGGGCGTGGAGGTTCAGGATGCTCCTTGGTAACTAATGGAAACAAAGACATAGGCAAAGAGTTCTTTCCTTGAACACTCAAGGGCAGGGGCAATATTGGTTTTAATTTATAAAGGTCTCAGTGACTGGGGCAAGGTCATTTTCTGTTTGAAAAAAGATACAGAACTAGGTTAATGATGTTTTGAGGTAAAAAGAAAACTGTGAGACTAATTTAGTTGAATGTTTTAGTTTTAAAGATGACTTTAAAAAATGGTTATTGAAGCAATGGTTTGAGAGAAAATGAAGAGGTTATTTGGAGATGTCAAAAACACTGATGAAAGATATGTTTTAAGGTCACAGACAACGGCTGCGTTGCATTCTCACACCCCCAAATTCATGATGTCTTAAAATCTATGTAAAAATACCATCAGGGACACGGTTATCTGTACTGACACTGGTATGTGGTGTATGGGAAAAACCTCTCAACACTGCATCACTAGGCTCAGGATTGTTACAGTGTGAGGTGAGCATCAAGAACAAACTTCAACCTGACATGGGTTTTTATGACGACACTTACAAGAAGTGATGAGAGTCCCTAAGTAAAGACTCATCCTGACGCTCGTAGCCTGCTGGGTGGCAGTACTAAAGTATTTAGATCATGTGTTGTCAGTGGGTGACACAGATATCTTCATCTGGTTCCACAAATGAAATTAGTAAATGCCCATTGTTGTACTTCATTGTTAGTGATACTCCAGTTTCAGCTTTCCTGGTAATCGTGCGTCTTTAGTTTGTGTACGTCTGTGAATGAGTGAGTATGGTTTTTTGCCGCTTTTAGCAATATTCCAGCAATATCATGGTGGGGGACACCAGAAATGGGCTTCACATATTGTGCCAATGTGGGGAATCAAACCCGATTTGGTGTGATGAGCCAATACTTTAACCACTAGGCCACCCCACTGCCCCCTTTGACACATTGGGATCAAACCCAGGTTTTCGGTGTGACAATAGAAGTGACAAAACCCTTTCCAAATTCATAAGACATCTCTGCCAAAAGCAGTCATGAACAATTGCTTTGACATTTTGGCTTCACCATTGCCCCTGTATGGCTGTGAAAGATCTTCTGTATCTTAAATATAACATTGTATTAATACCTGCCAACTCATTAAACATACCAGTAATTAAAAAATATCTGTAAAACTTTATGTTTTGGGAAATACTGATGAAGTATTGAATTCCATGTTCCAGTGAGTAAGCATGCTGATTAAAGATAGAAATTGATATAGGAAGAAGTAGTTGACATGCCAGTAGATCAGGAAGCAGGTGGCTTCGGAAGACAATATCTCATACCAAACCAATTTCTGCCTTGCTTCTTAGGATTACAAAACTAACACATCTGAGCACAATTTTTTTGTGTCACACTGGTAACAGATGAATGATACAACAACACGATTTCATCTACATCTGCAAAAATGTGCCTCTTTCATTCATCCATCATTGTTCTTTTTTATATGTCAATAAGCAAGTGAAATTAGGCATTTTTTTTTCAGTTCCTGTTTCTGTCCAATTATACCAAAAGGATACTAAATCTTTCTTGTCAGAAACTGGGCTGTGTATTGCTGGGGAAGGTCTTACATTGGTATTACCAAATTGGCTCTGGCACGCAACTGAAGCTGGCTGCTTATAGTACAGGCACCTAAACCTCATGGTTCTATTGATCAGAAAATGTTTCGGCTTTGTAGAACATATTCTAAAAACCAAAAACATTGTTCTAGTTTTCTCCTTCCAAAACAACAAAAGTGCATCAGCTAGGAATGTTTCTTTGGATTTGTCATATGTACTTCTTTCCTATTTATGATTGACATTTCACAAACAACTTAGGTTTCGTGTATCAAAAGCCAGAACCTCTAAAAGAATAATGTGCATTGCTATATCTCAAGGGCTCTGGTTTAATGTCTTGGAATTAGTTTCATTCTCAAAAGAAGTTGGACAATGCGTCATCTGGATATGATTCTTGGTTTGCTTGATGGACATTTTGTATGACACAAAATATGATATTTCAAATGTGTTTAGGCATAAAAACTTCATGGATAAATCTTTTTTTTTTCTCAATATCACGAGTGCTTATATGGAGATGGTTATTTTGTACCTCAGTACTGACTTCTGAATCATGTATGTCAAAGTTTCCATATATCATTAGCTGCCTCAGTGATATATGATTAGAGACGAATGTTGCTCTGATCATGCTTTGTTCTATAGGTAATATGAATATAACCATGAATGATGAAATCTGTCATATTTGTTCCCTGGATAGGAAAAGTCACAGGAAATTAAGAATATAATGATACTTATGTACCAAAATACTAGACAGCTCCATTCATCAAAGAAAACTGATAAATACATATTTGCCTGAGCATTTGTCATTGGTTGTTTAAGAATGATCCAAACATGGTATATTATTTGGAATAATGATATTTGATATTTGGAGCTATCATATTCTGTAGAACAGCTGATCACCCACACAGAGACTGAACCATTGAACAGGACACAAATCACAGATACGACATTCAGTACCTCCAAGACAATGATCTTTTTATCTTAATTTCCCAAAAAACAATAAATATTTCAGATTCCCAATAATCCAAAACTATACACAGAAGCAAATTTAGTCCTCAATCCCTCCCAGCTTGACATGGAGAGTACATGACGCAGCTCAACTAACTCTTTGTTACCAGGAAACATGAAGGTGGATCGGACATATTGGCTAAAACATGACAAATTAAGACTTATAATGAAACTCAACAGCATTGCTCTTGTCAATTACCCAACATGCATCTGGTTTCCTGTTTGCCAGAGGTGAAGTAATGTCAACAAGAAGCAGGTTATTACCATGCTCAATTGATGTTGAAGGCCAACCATCCTTGTCATTTCGCTACAAACCATGTCTGCAGAATGGGTTATTGGTTTTGTCTGCTTCCTGGAATAGCAGGTAATACCTTGAATTGGCCCTAGTTAATGTGAAAGGGAATTACTGCAGTCTTTGTTTTATGGTCACCAAACATCTGGAAATGCATGCCAGAATTGTGTCTTGTGACAGAGCATACTTCAAAGGACTTTGTGCTAATGTGGTAATTAGATATTCTTCCAACAATGGGTTGCTTCTATATATGGAAAGAAGACACTAACTACAACAGATGTATAATTCACAAATAGTTTTCTTCGTTACCAAGCATCATGTGGTCTTGCTGTCAGATTATGAATTCTTTATGAAGTATACATTGCACTACAGTTCAGGGCAGTGGGGCAGCCTAGTGGTTAAAGCGTTCGCTTGTCATGACGAAGGCCTGGGTTGATTCCCCACAAGGGTACAATGTGTTAAGCCCATTTCTGGGGGTTTCCGCCATGATGTTGCTGGAATATTGCTAAAGCAACATAAACCATACTCACTCACTCACTCACTCACTGTAGTTCAAAATACTTCCACCTGTATCTGAGGTCCAGTGGTGCGAGGTGTCACAGCTTGCTGTGCATATATTATGTCCCTTAGTTGCCAGAATCTGTTATCCTGGATTTGAATGCCATGTTTGATCTTTACAATTTCACTACATACCCATGCTGATAATTTTTTCTTTCAAAAAACATAAACATTCAAGCAAATGTCACAAAATTCGATCCTTAATGTTTAGTCCATGGTCATTCATTGCACATAGTGTTTAATATTATTAAAACTAACATTTGTTCATATGTTGAGTCACCCCCACTATGTGGTGCTGCTCACATGGCCTAGGAAGTGATGTAGCCCAGCTGCCGAGATACAGCAGTGATTACACTTACCACAGCTGTATGAGTGGCAGGTGCTACTGTTATGGCAGGACATGCTAACCCTCACCAACAACTTGTGAGATCAATGATTGCCAGTGATCTGTTTATAGAATTTGAACTCCTATTTTCCCTTTTACGCCCACTGGAATCTGTTTCATCAGAAAATGAAGACTGATTATTCTCCAGTAGTGTAATGTTGTATTTACATAATAAAAACAAACTGCTATGCATTTCATTGGAACTCATTTTCTCTGCCAGCAGAATCTGAAATTCAGAAGACATTCTGACTTCATGATAAACATGTTTCCTTGCCCTTGTTTCCTATCTTTTTCTGACATTCTTCCTTTTCTTAGAAGGGTAATACTTCAGCCTGCAAGCATTTGAGACACTGAATACTTGAGGCATCTCTTTCATACTGCCTGGGTGGCCAAAGGTTGGGAGACTAGTGGACAAAAAACCCAGATAAATGCTCTATGTTTCCAGGAACTGCATCCTTAGCATACATCTGCCACAATGATTAGGGTCAACTTACAGCAGACTTGACACACCTGTGAATGAAGCCTACAGTGATGCCTCCAGGGTTAGAGATCCAACATTACCAACAGTTTCTGATTCTGGAACCATTTGGATACTGATAGCAAGGAACCATTATTCAGGGTCATATTGATATTATACACCTGTCTGAGAGCCATTCCTTACATATTGATGCTGTACACCTGTCTTGGAGAATGTTAATGTGCCAGACATCTCCTTGGGTGAAGGTTGATTTTCCAGGACTACACCCTCACCACTTAATTGTCAAAATGTGGAGAACAGTTTCGCTTTTCTTACTTCTTAAGACAAAATGTATCTGTTTCTTCTTCAGAACTGTGGAAAATATTATTTTTTACAGGATTTATCTGGGTATTGGAATCTGTTTAATATTTTGATAAAGTGTACACACAACTAAAGCAGGTTGAAGATCTTTACTGTTTTAGCTGTGTTACATGACAGTCAGCAGTGTTTCAGCTACATCATGGCAGTCTGTAGATGTTGGGCCAGACAAACCAGTGACAGATACTATGAGCAAGGTTCCATGCTATCAGGGCAAGCAACCATGTCAACATGCCTGAATATCCAACCTAATTCAGTTTGCATACCACAAGATTAAAATCTTACATGTTTTAGGCTAAACTACAT